AAAAAAAAAAAAAGAACAGATTTGTTAAAATGCCAACATTTGAAATACATACAATTTGGCATTTAAATCCCAGAACTGGGTGTCATCTGTTATCCAAGGATTGCTCGGAAGGCAGCCCGACATGATGGCATCGTTGGATGAGAACTGCTCACTGTACTTGACAATTCTGAAAAGCAGATAGAAAGGGGAAGCTCCTAGAAACTCAACCCAGAGAGACCAGATAACTGCATGGAGTAATTGGCCGGCTTACCCTCTCTTCCGCTATTGGTTTAGTTACACGCTTATTACTGTCTTCTAAGAAAAATGTGTGACAGCTGTTGGGAAGATCTGTCCTAGTGTACTTGGGAAATAGTTCTGCTTTCTTCCAGTCCTATTCTCTTGTCAATTTTCTGTCCCTAGTTCAAACGTGGCTTCATTGCATGCCATAAGACAATTTTACATTCTGATGTTGGCTCATCTGTCTGTGTCTTGGTATCTATCCATCTTAGAAGCTTCAATTGCCACAGACGAACTAAGGCCACTGAGCTTCTGGATTCCACCTCTGGAATGATCATGCCTGTGTTTGGGAATTTCAATGAACTATTAGAAACCTTTGGCCTCAAGCTAGATGAGACCTTCTGAGTTAATGAATTTCCTGATGTCAGAGGCAGAGGCAATGCTCTTATCTGTGTGCCAGGAAGAACTACAGGTTCCTGCCTCAAATTCTGCCCATGGCTGTAGGCACACTTTTGGGGACAGTGGCTCACTTTCAAAAACTATTAATTTGGGAAGGTGTAAAGGCTGTCTGAAGATTTTTATGACAACCTGACCAGTAACCTAATATTGGAAGTCAGCAGTGACAAAATATGGCTCATTGGAACCTAAAGTCAGTCTGCACAAGGCTTGTCATGTTTGACTTAAAGCAGACGTTCTCTTACACACCTATTGCTCATGATTTAGCTAGACAAATCAGGGACATACCCTCCAAGAGACACCGAAGACTTCACTGTGGACCTCATTAAGGCCTGTTGGTAATACATGATCTGGAAAGAGAGCCGGCTGTTAGAAGATAGCTGTAATTAATCATGATAGATTATTAATCATGACTCTCAACTTGACGGGTTCTAGAAACACTTGACAACAGTCAGACCTCTGGAGGAGCCTATGTGGGGATTTCTAGATTGGATCGTGATGGGAGGATCCACCCTTAAGGTGAACAGCTCCAGGCCATTGGCAAGGCTCCAGGATTGAAGACAAAGAGGAAAGACAGCTGAGCAGAAGCTGCAGTTATGTCTCTCTGTCTCTTGATTGTGGATGCCCTGTGGCCAGCTGCCTCATGCCGGGCTGCTGTGACCCCCGCTCGCTCACTCCCATGGGGGACTGTATCCCCTAAAACTGTGAGCCAGGATAAACCCTTCCACCCTTCAGTTGCTTTGGTCAGGCAACAAGATAAGTAATATAATCTCCAACTCCCCGCCCTTGAGTAGGATTAACTCTGATATTACACAGGGATCCAAGACCAGAGACCATTTATCCAGACCAACAGTGTGTTCTGCATCTTTTAAGTCAGGGCTCAGGTTCACACCTCAGACTTCTGGCCAGTGTCCTCCTTAACCCATCATGTGTCCGTTTGAGAAAAGCCAACAGCAGGAGGACAAAATGTCTAAAGGAGTTTTGAAATGAGATACAGAGATAAAGTTGAAGTCCTGTAGAGACCGGCCAAAGTAGATAGCTTGTCACCCCGCTCAGATTCCAAATGGATTTGTAAGAGCAGGATCCAGTTCAGGGATGTGCAGCCTTCCCTCCACAGTCCCCCTGACCATCCCTCAGGTATGTGGCATCAAGGGACATTTCACATGCAGAGCTTCAGCATCTGCTCTATTCAGACCTTACCAGGGATCCTGCTCTGCCCTTTAATTTGGAAACAATTGTCTGAACGTTACACGTGGATTTCGTTTCATTACTTGAGTGTGAAGCATAAAGCCATAGTATACATAATTTGTTAGAAGATTTTTAAAGCAAGCTTCACTGGAACTGGGAGACTAATTACCTCTTTTCTGACAGCAGTGACAGTTTGTTTCTGTAAAAACAAAGAAGAGAAACCATTAAATCGGTGCCACTGAATCCATACGGTTCAAATGTCCATTTGAAAAATAAGAAACATTGCCCATGAGAAAACCACTCTTCTCCTCATACTTAAAAGGCAAGATCCCGCTCCCACGACTGCCTCTACCACCTCCGCCCTCCTCTGTGCCACCAATGGAGACTACCAGCAAAATGAGTGGCCAGAGCAGGAATGTAATTTACCACTATAACTTTATTCCTGAAACCCAAGGTGAATTAAAGACCACGTTTAGAGTTGGCCTTGCTCTCCCATTCTGTCCCATTAGAAAGAGATGAAAATGGAAGATAAAGAGGAAACCTGGGCTAAGACAATGGCTCAGTAGTACTTACCACTGCAAGCCTGACAACCTGAGTTTGGTCCCTAGAACCTATGTAAAGATGGAAGGAGAGAACTGACTCCACAAAGTTGCCCTCTGACCTGTGTATATATGCCATGTGCTTCCTTGTTTGTCAGCTTGACACAAGCTAGAGTTATCTAAACAGAGGGAACCACCACTGAGAAAATGCATCTATATAACTGCCCTGTGGATAAGCCTATGGGACATTTCCTTAACTAATAATGGCTGACGTGAGAGGGCCCAGTAAATGTGAGCAGTGCCAACCCTGGGATGGTGGACATGGGGTGTATAAGGAGGCCAGCTAAGCAAGCCACAGAAGCAAGCACTCCTCCATGGCTTCTGTCCCAGTTCCTGCCTCCACACTCCTCCCGTGCTTTCCTCAGTGATGAGTAGTTGACCCAAAAGTCCTAAACTGAAATAAGCCCTTTCCTCCCGTGTTGCTTTTTGTTGTGGTGTTCTGTCACAGCAAAGGGAACACTACGACACCATGGAAAGTATGCATCAACACACATACACACACACACACACCAATAGATTAAAAACTGAATAACTGGAAGCCACCTCTCCCTGATACGTAGCAGGAGGAAACCATCATAGACCCTGAATATGTGTTTCTCTTCTCACCAGGAAGAACTTTGAATAGATGATGAGATTCACTCTCAGGCATTCATAACTGGACTCGCATCACAAACTAAAAACAATAACACAGCCATGTTTCTAAAACCAAAGCATACAACAAAAAGTAAAAATAAACCCCACAGCCTCATCTCAAGAGTTGGCCTGTAATGTGTGGAGATCACACTGGTCCCCTTGCCCTTACTATCAAAGCAAGCTCAATTTCACAGTGGGGATCCTTTCTCTCTCTCTCTCTCTCTCTCTCTCTCTCTCTCTCTCTCTCTCTCT